GATATAAGAGAAAAGGCGGACTGCAAAGATCCAAAGAAAAGCTACTTTATCCATGAAAAATGGTCGGGTGGAGGAGGGGTTTAGAATGATTTGCCGGCTTTTGACTGAATAAACATGTGTGGGTGTCCCAAATGATTGTAGCCCCAAGCATAAGCACTGGCCTCCAGGTTAGAACTGATGCTTGATTTCTATCGTAATCAGGAGTAGAGTTATCCCTTTCTCTTTTGCCCCGGGGATGGGGTGGGGGTGGGGGGGAGTTGATCCCTATAATGGCCTGTACGGGGAGACTCAACCCGAATGTAGTGACTTTTTAAGGAGTCGGATCACATGAAGGGGTAGAGATTTCACGTGTTGAAGAATATTGAAGGGTAGAGAACTCTGTCATTTCCTTCTGTAAGACCTAAAAGGGCTAATAGAAGACTTAATGGCTGTAAAAAACCCCAGACAATTTCCTGGTTTTGTGATTAATTCATATTTTTAAGACAGTGCATTTATACTGTACAACAGTCAAAAGCAATGCAAAGTTCTAAACTAGTTATGTGAAAGAGGTACCCTTTTTTCAATGGAAGGTATACGAAAGAGTACCTTTTCTGTCAAAAATGGTACAAAAGTAGGGTAAAGGGTAGGACCTCTGGGTGGAGCCTCCCTTTATAAAACTCTGTTGAGTACCCCTCGAAACTTTTGTACGGTATAGTTTGCGTCGCAGACACTCCTCACCAACAATGGTTTAGACAATGTGTGGGCCAGCTGAAACACATGAAAGGGGCACCTCCCTATTTGCTCTTAACGGGTATGTGCCGCTAAAAAGCGTATCGTTTTCAGGGTCTCAAGTCTTAAACAGGGTAAACAATTTCACTTCTTTGCGTCTTGAACAGGATGTATTTTTCGACAGGAATTTTTTAAAACAGCGTGAGGGTTGGCGATGAGCGGTCCACGTGCTTGGTACATAAAAAAGGTCTAATTCTATGACGTTAGTTGAAAAGATTAAAACGAAATCCAACAGGAAATTGAGCAATTTTAATTTTCAGTGGACAGAAACCTTGAACCAGAATATTTTAAGTCATATCGCATTCTTTTTTACATTTATTCAAGGGATACAAATGTAATTAGCTATCTGTAATAACACCAAAGACAATTTTTTTATGGGAGCCGGAGAAAATAACTTTCAAATTTCACAGAAATTGAGAAAACATAGGTAAAATCGTTAAGCGTAAGATTTCATTTTGTGAAATTTAACGCTAAGTTTGTTTTCTCGGTCTCCTATAAGAAACTTTTCTTCGAAGTTATTTCATATGACTTATTACATTTATAGCTCTCGAATACGTAGTGTAAAAAGAATGCAATATGCTTTAAATTATTTTGGTACAAGGTTTTTGTCCACTGGAAATTAAAATTACTCAATTTCCTAATGGATTCCGCCTTAATTCTGTTGGGAAATAATGGAATCAGGGTAATGAATAGACGTCTCGTGTCAGTACAGGGAGGGTAGCAAAATGAGCAATTTCGGCACACCTCTACCCAAATTTTTCTTAAGTTCCCCCCCCCCCCCCCCCCCCCCCCCCCTCTTTCCACAATTTTTTTTATTTTAATTTTTTTTTTTGTAGTGTGTTGTTTTGATTGTATGATTGGTAGAGAAGAGAAGAACGCAGACGATCAACAACACACTGCGTGCGTCCTCCACCGCGCTCAA